GTTCTAATGGGGAAAGAGTATAATGAGAAAGTTGATGTGTGGAGTGCGGGTGTTATTTTGTATATTATGCTTTCTGGGGTTCCTCCTTTTTACGGTGAAACGCCGACTGAGACTTTTCAAGCTGTTCTCAGAGGGAATTTGAGGTTTCCGACGAGGAATTTCCGGTCAGTTTCGCCTGAAGCTAAAGATTTGTTGAGGAAGATGATATGTAAGGATGTTTCCAGAAGATTTTCAGCTGAACAAGTACTGAGTAAGTTCAATTTCTCTTATTTTCACTTAATTTTGCTTTCCCCTGTTTTTTTCGAGTTGCTGATTTTGATGTTCTTTGTTATATACAGGACACCCATGGGTGATTAATGGAGGAGAAACAAGATCAATGGCTGATCTAAACTGAAGAAGAACAACAAGAAGAAGATGATAACTGGTTTTTCCCTAACTACTCTATAAATACTACTGATAAGTTTTAGCTGTATATATACATCAATATCACCAGCTCCATTTGAAAAAAGGAAGAAACTGAGGAGAAAGAAAAGCCCTTTATTGGAGAAGGGGGTTCCCTCTTTGAACTTTTTTTCTCCTTTGAGATGTTGTTGCTGTGTTATGGAGAAGAATCTGAAGAGGATAATGAATCTCCTTTAAAAAAAAAGTTTTCTGGCTATGTAGACATAGATGATTTTCCCACTTTTATGTGTTTTTTGCTATATGAAAGTTTGTGGAAGAGAGAAGGAGAAGGATAAGTGTTTATCCTTCAAGTTTTGTTATTATGTAATAATAAAGTTTGCTTCTTTTTTTTATTTGTAATCTTTGAGATATCTTCTATAATATTATTAGTGTCTTGAAGCACAATCTTTTGTTGATTTGTTGTTGAATTCTTGATTATGTAGTTCTGATTAATAGATATGAATTATCGGAAACAGTGTCTTTACCGATGGTGAAGTCTACGTACATTCTATCTACCTTAGACTCCACTTGTGGGAGTGATTGTATCAATTATGTTAGTGTTGTTGTTGCCTCTTTACCTAGAGGTGAAGTTCGCGTATTGCCCCATCACTTGTGGGAGTGTGATTATATCGAGTATGTTATTGTTGTTGTTGTATAGTTTGTGTGCATAACAGTAAGTCATTTTTAGTTTCTGAGAGTGATTAACCTTTCTACTTATTCAAAATTTGAATTAAAAGCTATTTTTTCGATCTATTCAACGGTTTCTTTGTATGTTGTTTTACTAATATGAATCTTGAATTGTTAATATTGATATCATGATTAAGCTTTATGATGAAGAAGTGTCCATACTCCATAGTTTCTGCAATGTGTTTCTTGAGTTAGGAATATTAGAAAGGAGTGTCTTTTTGACTTTTCAAAGAGGCATAATGTTGACATAACCTATGCTTTTCTCTAATTGGATTCATCAAGAAAAATGGAAAAAAAGCAAAAGACTTGAGGTGAAGTACAGTTGATTGTACTGATCCTTTTAGCACCTATCAAGAAAAGGAATGGTGGATCTTGTAGTTTTTTGTTGATGTGTGGGTGGTGGTAATGGAATCTACAAAGATAAGGTGTATTTTGTATCTTATAAGCATATGCCTTTTAGTTTATAGATATTGCCAACCTATTATTCTTATACGGAGTGATACATAAATATGACTCTTTCAATTTTGAGTATGCATAAACAGTTTCTTAAGCTTGCATAAAACTTAATAAGTAGGCACACGTGTCCTACATTGCTTAATACACATAGGACATAAAATTGTCATGTAGGAAAAAATGTGTATATTTGTTCAATTATATACCAGTCGAAGTGCTTTCTTATACACCTTCAAATTTAAAGATTATAGTTATCGGTTGACGCTAAATTAAGGTCATATTTATGTATTGTGTCTTTTTTATTTATTTCGTGAAATTTTATAAGTAAAATCTGGCGTGAAGATGGAGAAACACATCAATTGAAAGAGAAGAAATGATAAGGTATCTCCTATGTGTTGGGATAAGAAAATAAAAAGAGATTCCTTGCTATGTGAAATTTATGTTTTTTCTATAACTTTACGTAAAAAAATTTATTATGGAGGCATTAGTGGTTGTCCTTTAATTATGTTAATAGGAGCACTGTATAATAAAGTTTGTTGCTTTAATAATGCAATGGATATATAATAATGTTTTTGAAATCACAGACAGAGAAAACAATACTTTGAGCCCATTTGGTCATAGATTTTTCAAATAATATTTGAAAAAAAAAATGAAAAATAATGTTTGTTTACTCATTTTGTCATTATTTGATAAATATTTTTGGTAAATATTTCAAATTCTCAAATACTAGTTTTTTCTAGTATTTGGTTCAAATCTCATTATTTGGGATCTCTTAAAAAATAAAATTTTACTCTAATTTTTTTTCTTTTATAAAAACACCCTGCATAGTTGTTGCTTACGTTGTATTACATAATTTTTACGTTAATTTCAAAATAGTGATGAAATATTTCGTAAATGTTTAATGATGATATAGTTATTGATGAAAATGATGAACAATCGACTCAAGATAACAAAGTATGTTTTGTCTACTTCATGATATATGAAATGATGTTTTTTGCACTCACTCCAAATTATCATATAGCTCTAGTGTCATGGATACTATTTATTATTGTTGTAACAAAGATCCAATTGACTTGTAATATAAACTCATGGTTAGTTTTGATATCTTTAAAATAAATCATATTTTTTCTAAAAAAGTGAAATATATTTTCCAAATATTATAACCAAACACATAGTGAAATTTCATTCACATTTTCATCCAGATAATATTTATTAAAAATATATTTAAAAATCTATAGCCAAACGCAATTACTATTGTTGAACATTTGAATTATGTTTTTTTTCCTTCTACTTTATTTGTGTGTGTGCAACTTGTTGAAAGTTATAGTATGAAACATCTTAATTAACTTTTATGCTTTATTCATGTGGAAGTATCCAGCTATTATGTGATGTGTTTCTTAAGTTTGGGATATTTTGTAGCATATTATTAAGCATATACTATATTCCGTCTTCCCTATTTAAGTTTCATTCCTTTCTTCTGAGTTACGAAATTAATCAAATTATATCGTATAAATTGAAATAAGATGAGTCTTGACTTTTCTTTTTTAGAACAATAAAAAAAAATGTACAAATATGATTAAAAGAAATAGTAAATAGTTATTAATAGTAATTGCATTTGATATTAATCTTTATAAACAACCAAATTTGATTTTAGCTCAAGTAAATACTCCAATATTTAACGGGGGAATGAGTTTGAAATATATTCAAACTTTGATCGAAATTGATGTAACAATTTCAAACTACGGGAAGGATCAATTATTCGTACAGTATTTAATAATGTATTTTAAAGATATATAAATACTAATGTGCACATCATAAATATTGCATCATTATTATAAATAGTAACTTGTTCAGCTGTACACTTATATACCTTCAAAATCCACTATTAAAGATAGTGCAAGAGGTTATAGGCCGTGCCAAAAATCTGAGATTGTTACAACAATTTCAGTCAAAGTTTGAATATATTTCAAACATATTTTCCTTTTTAATATGCATATTATGACACCTCAACTCGTCTTCTTTGTGCTAGTTGAACATTCTAACTTACAAAAATGATCATTTAAACAATGTCAAAATTTACGTACGTCAACTTTTGTTGTTCATAAAAGTTCATGAAATACAGTAAAAACGAGTTGGAGTATTTAATTGTCGATTCAAGACCAAATTAAAAGTATCCAAAATATACTTTCTTGAAACATTGTTTTTTATTTTTCTTTTGTAACCTAACTAAATACACTTGTTCATCATCCAAACACAATCTTGAGAACTATGGTAGTTACAATTAATTATATAGTTATAAATAAATGGACAGATCATAAGAAGTTTGGTGAATGATGGTGACAATTTAATTGATTAATAAATGAAAGGGCACACCACAACAAAAGACCCATGTGATAAGTCGAGTGGCCAATTGTTTCATTTTTTTCAACTTTCAATAAGTAGAAAAATTGCAAGAGATAAAAGACATATTTGCATAGATCAGTGAGCAAACCTATCAAATGGAACCATGTATGGGATGGGAATCTATCCATAATATATATTTGTATACTTATAAATGCACCTTTTTTTTTTCCATGTGAGATAATGTACGAGTATTCCTAGTTTATAATCGTAATTTTATAAATATATTTTAATTAAGTTAAGATTTTATTATTGTTTTAAGTTTATATATTGAAAATTTAGACACCTTTTGATTTATGTGACAGCTAAATGATTTGATTATTCGGAAAGATTTTTTACCCTAAATTTCTTTGTTTCATTTTTTTTTCTTTTTTGTCTTTGTGACACATTTAACAAATATTTGGTAGGTGAAAGTTGAAAGGAAAATGGTTGGATGAATGCTATTTATTTTACAAGACAAGAATTAAGTATATATAGTAAAAATATGATATGTTGATAATTTCAATGAAAATCAAGATTCATGTTTTTTAATGAAGTAATGTTTTTTAAAAAATAAAAAATAAAAATTGTTGTCAAGGTAGCGATTTGAAGTTTTTTTTTATAAAAAAATCACATTTTGTAAAATCGCTGCAGTAACAACGATTTTGCTTTTTTCGATGGAATAAATCGCAGTTGTTCCAGCGATTTTACCGTTTTAATTAATATAAAATTTTATATACTGTTTTGAAATTTTTGTTAATATTTTATACCCTTTAGACTTCGAACTCATTATAAACTACTCATATTTTTGCAAAAACGCATAAATAATATATTGATTAATTTCATGTAGTAATTATTGCACAAAAATAATTGTTTCTCAACTGTTAACGTCAAGAGGATAAAGTGAAATTAACTCTCATTTATTGTTGAAAAAAAGTCTAATTTCCTTAACCATATTTTATATATTAAGTTCACTTAACTTTATTATAAAACTTTGAATATAAATAGCATCAATTTACTTTCATCTAAACACACACAAAAGTTATCAATTTACTAACAAATTATGAATTATGAATTTTACTAAAGTTTTAGGAATAATTTTTCTTAGTGTAATTTTTATAACAAATAATGTCGAAGGTGTTGATGAGGTTATAAAAGTATCTTGCCAAAAAAAATGTAGAATATGGTGTGTCTTTGATTTTTGCTATCAAAGTTGTTTGAAGAATTATTGTCATGAACATCCTCAAATTTCTTCTAAAGTCAATAATTGTCGCGTCAGTTGTTCAACTCATCGTTGTTTCAAATTTAAAAAAGGTATATCTATTTTCCTTCATGATGAAGTTTTTGAAAAATCGTATTTGGTGTTTTAAGTTTAAATATAAACATTTTTTTATTAGTAACAAAAATTATTTTTGAGATTGTAAGTAGAAGCAAAAATCTTCTCCAAAAATAGGTATTTTAAAATTTCTAAGGACAAAATACCCATATAAAGCTTTATATTTATTTGATTTAAATTAACCATTACTTCTGTTTAGTTATTATTTGTCATTTTTTGAAAATATTTAACAAACACAAATTACTAAAAGAAAATACTTTCTAATTTACTTAAGTCAAACACAAAATTATTACGTCTTTCGTTTTTATTTATATGTCATCATTTCAAATTTCACGTCTCTTAAGAAACTATATAAGTTTACTATTGTACCCTTATTTAGTTATTCTCTTGAAGTCAAATTTTCAATAATAGTAAGGGTAAAATAAATTTACCAGATAAATTATCTCTTGATTTTCTAAACTAAGCAAATATTGTTGGACAATTATTTTTAATATAATGAATAACTATAGCTTCTCAATCATCGTATATATACGGAGTAAAATTAATATTACATTATTATTATCTACATTTAATTTTTATTTTTATTTTTGGCGCAGATGAAAAGCTAATGGAAAATTGCTTGGATGAATGTTCAACAAAATATTGTATCGAAGATTAACAAAGTTATAATATATGCTACTTGTTTTTATAAAAACAAAGTTATGCAAGGAAAATAAAAAATAAAAAGCCATCTTGATGACTACAAATGTAAATTAATGCTTCTAATGAAATAAATAATTTGACAACTCAATGTTTTATATAATTTATGAGAAAAAACTTTTTTTTATCTTCGTAAGATAAAAAAATGTTGTATATATATAATTTTCTTCAAATTTTACTTATAGAATTACATTAGATATGTCGTTGTTGGACAATTTGATCTTTTGATTTTTTTTGTTATGCTTTCGTCAGAATTTGTGTTGGATATATATGAATAAAGTCGTATACTGGTAATTAAAAATAAAAAGAAGCTATTTAAAGATGTTAAAACTATTTTAATAGTGTGAGATATTTTGTGAAAAAAACGTACAGATCAATTTTAATTATAAATAGGTGAAATTACATTATGTTAAGAATATATTTGCGTTGATTTAACAACACATTAAGTTTACTTTCAGAATTTGTATTTTTTATGATAACACAAAATATTTCGTGCGTCGAATTTCTCAAACGCGATTGATGATGACTTAGAAATACGAAATGCAATAGGATGAGTTTTCAAAACGATAAACTAACGTCTCCAGATCTATGTTGCTCAGATTATTAAAAAATCACAACGTATCAATTTTTTTTATAAAAAATGACTTTTGAGAAATCTAATACGCATTCAACAATATCTCTAATGATTCGAACATCATAACATCGCTTAAAATATGAAAAAATTTTAAACACATGCAAAAGATGAAATTCCATTCCCACAAAATAAAGCAAAAAAAAGTAAGCTATTACTAAGCATATGCTAATAATATTTCCTCATGGAATTTCAGACTGATTCCTTTCCTTAAAATATTCAATTTTCAAGAAACACATTTCGAAATAATTTTTTTAAGAGGAAATTAATTTAAACAAAACCACGTTAGGTGCTTTTGTTAAATATTCAACACATTTTAAGATGCTCATAATAACAAAAATAATTATTTATCAATAATAAATATATATATCAATAAAGAGTGATAAAGTTTTCATCGATATTAATTAATTGTCATCAGATTTAATATTGTCATAGGCTTTAGGGACATTTACAAAGAGCGTTAAATGCCTCTGAAAATATTTCATTTGTCCCTAAATACTTATTCATTTTTGAATTACATACCTATTAAAGAATCAATAATTGACATAGTGAGTTTATCATTTTACCCCTATTAATTATGAAGTACATGAATTAAAAACTTAATATTTTCAAGAAGTTCACCTTTTTCAAAGTAATTAGTTGAGGGTTAAATAAGTAAAATTTTTTTAGTCCTTTCTTAATTTGTCAAAATGAATAAGTAATTACAAATTAACTAAAAATAGAAATGTGAACAAATAATTAGGAACATAGAGAATATGTTTTATTGACAATTAAGCTATCAACGTTAATTAATTGTCAGTAAAAATCATTTTTAACATAGTGACACTAATATGTTGAAATAATTATGTGAAAATACTTATAAAATCATGTGAGTTATTAAATAATTACATATAAAAATTGTAATAAACATTAATCGACGATCTATTAAAAATAGTAAAGAGCTTGCAATATTGACAATCAGCTAAAAATAGCAGTACTAAATAATTTGCAATGAATCCCTACATTTTATCAAGAGAAAATACATAATTACCTATTAAACTATTTTATTTCTATAAAATCGGATATATCATATATGATTTGTTGATCACTATTAGGTAGATATATCAACATCTACCTAATTATTAATGAGAAGAAAATTCAGCATTTGTTTAAATTTTGAATGTTAAATCAGAGTTGGACTTCCTTTCATTTATTATTTTTGAGAGGAAAAAAAACTCTAGCTGTCACGACCCAAATCGGGCCGCGACTGACACTCACACTTACCCTCCTGTGTGAGCGAACCAACTAAATCTAAACCTTAACATTTTAATATACTATCAACATAAGTAATGCGGAAGACTTAAACTCATTAATAAAAATCAATTCAATAACTATTATTTCCCAAAATTTGGAAGTCATCACCACAAGAACATTTATGATCAAATTACTAAACTAAGAGTATTCTAAAAGCTAAAACAAGTAAAAGCTAGTTCATGCCGGAACTTCAAGGCATCAAGACATGAGGAAGAAGATCCAGTCCAAGCCAGAAGATTAGCTCACCCTGAAGATCCGATGTGACGAAGACTGGCTAGAGTTACGGTTGAGTTGAAGATGACGGCATGTTTGCTGCACTCCACAAACAAACAAGAAGAAAACATAAAAGTAGGGGTCAGTACAAAACACCGGTACTGAGTAGGTATCATCAGGCAACTCAAAATAGAAAACAATATATATCAGATAATATCATAAAATCAACTAATATCCTTAGCATGCAACATTTACAATTACCATAACCCTTGGTTACAACACCAAGCTCATCAATGAGGACTCACACCTCCTCATCATACTCATTTGGGAATTAGGTTCATTATATTGAGTATATTAACATCTTTCAAGATTCATTATCTTTATTCCTCTCGTGTCGGTACGTGACACTCTGCTCCTCAATATACTATCCTGGTGTCGGAACGTGACACTCCGATCCTCATTCTATCCTGGTGTCGGAAAGTGACACTCCGATCCTCATTCTATCCTGGTACCGGAACGTGGCACCCGATCCATATTCTATCCTGGTGTCGGAACGTGACACTCTGATCCATATTCTATCCTGGTGTCGGAACGTGACACTTCGATC